TCAAGCCTATTTGTACATATGTTGCCAAAATCATTTCCAAGACATTTTCTGCTTGAGCCCTTGATAGACGCTCTTCTTTTTGTCCCTCCCTGCCCCGACTCTCCCACCCTTCTGTAGCCTTGATCCATTATATATTGTTATGACCTCTTCTCAGCACACAAGCAAGATTGTTCCTGCAGAGAACTTCATTGTCAGCTTTGTCTTGTCCTTTCTTAAAGTGAGTTATATATTTGTAAACTACTGATTTCTTTGGGAATTGTCCCCATAAACTTTGTAAAGCATCAGTTGACTTCACCTTTATTCCACCCAAGTTTCACCATCAGTTTGATGTTGTACTTGCTTCAATTTCAGCAGAATCCATGTTGTGCTCACAGGGGCTCTTTTCCAAGTTCTGTCTTTTCCTTATAGTGCCTCAAACTAGATTCTGTTCAGACATGTTATAACAAGTTAGTATGGTTTATTTTGGTGTAAAAAAAACCCTAACGTTCATACATAGCTTTTTCTTTTCTTTTTTTGGGATCATTTTATTGGGGGCTCTTACACCTCTTGTTACAATCCATAAATCAATTGTATCTAACATATTAATACATATATTGCCATTGTTCCTTTCTAGACATTCTCTTTCCATTGAGCCCTTGGTTTTAGCTCCTCCTCTTTTTTCCCCTTCCCCCTCCCCTCGTGGTCCCCTGATAGATTATAGATTGTTATTATTTTCATTTCTCACACCGACCACTGTCTCCCTTCCTCTCTGGTTTCTGTTGTTCTTACCCCTGGGTGGGGGTGTGTGGTTATGTGCCATTCGTTGCGATCAGTTCCCTCTTTCTCCACCCCTTCCCTACCCCTTACCCTTTTGGTATCGCTATTTCCATACCTGTTCCTGGATTCTGTGTCATGAGCTTTATCTCTTTGCTTATACCTATGTACATGCTCTGGTCCAGTCCAGAGTGGGAAGCAGCACTGGAGGCATGATAGTAGGGGTTGAGGAGGCCTCAAGGGATCAGAGGTATATTGCATGATTTATCGGTACTCTACTGCACCCGATTGACTTATCCCCTCCCTGCGACCCCTCTTGGGGGGGTATGTTCCATTAACACAGATGGGCTTTGGGTCTCCACTCCAGCCCCCTCATTCTCACCAATGCGTTTTTGTTTGTTTGTTGTTTGTTATGAATTTTCTGATGCCCATTGCCCGGTCCTGATGACACCTCATGATTGTACGGGCTGGTTTGCTTCCTCCATGTGTGTTTGTTGCTTCACTGTTGGATGGCCACTTGTTTAACTTCAAGCCTTTAAGACCCCAGACGCTGTATCTTTTCATAGCCAGGCACCATCCGCTGTCTTCACCACATCTGCTATGCACCCATTTTGTCTTCAGCGATCATTTGTGTGTGGGGTGGGATGGGATGAGGTAGGTGGGTAGGGTTGAGCATCACAAAATGCCATCCATTTTGTTAGAACAAAGTGTTCTTGTATTGAGGGAGGGTATGAGCTGAGGCCCAAGGCATGTCTGCACCTTCAGTGTGCTTATGCACCCATTTTGTCTTTGGTGATTGTGTAGTGGGGTGGAGGGTGAGCATCACAGAATGCCAATTTGTTAGAACAAAGTGTTCTTGTACTGAGGAAGGTACGAGCCAGGCCCATGGCCCCGTCTAAAGCTTTAGTGCATTGTCTTATAAATATACTGTATGTACATAGGCCAATACCACTATTGTTATGGATCAATGTATTTACATAAGTGCACACCTCTGTTAATCTCCCTATCTGTGTCTTTGCTTCCTAGAGCTTGCCTCTGTTTCCTTTGCCTCCTCCTGCCCCACCATCACTTTTTCCCCCTTCTTCCACCTCTTAGTGCTTCATCTTCACTAGCTTGGTGTTGCTCTAATCCTCACAGGATCTCTACCCTCTCCTAGATGCTGGTTCCGCTTCCCTAGTTGTTCCCCGTCCATGAAGCCATCCACTTACCACATCCTTCTCCCCACTAGTTCTTCCCTCTCTACCTTCCGGGGCCATTGGCCCCATTGCCTTCTCCCTGGGCTTCCCTCCCCTGGTCCAACCCATATAATTAGGCAAACCATCCATGTCCTAGTCCGAACAATAAGAAAACTATGGTTGAAGAAAGAAAAGGGAAGAGAAAAAGATGAGAGAAAAGAAAAAAGACCCTAGATAGATCCAGGTCTGCTTGCTGGTCCCCATGGGACCCTACACCCTGGTCCTGAGGGGGACCCGGGGGGCTGCCCCTCCTTGCCTGAAGTCCATTCTTGGGGCTCCTCAGGGGCTCTGTGGCTTGGCTTTACTCCATTGCTGATCTGTTATGCTCCAGTTAGGGGGCAACATGTCTTGAGCTTTGGTAGTCCCACAGTCCTCTCTGTGCCCCAGCAGCTCCATGCGGGGAATTCATCGTCTGGGCTTGGTGTGCCCATATAATGTCTAGGTCGACTGCCCCTTTCTCTTTTCCTTATTGGTTTGCCGTCTGGGTATGGTAGGTCAGTTCCTTTCCTGTACCAGAAGGTCTAGTGAGGAGGCACATACTTCCAGAGTGGGAGTCAGGCTGGTTCTGGTTGGGGCCGGCTCTGTAGTCCAGTCTTTTCATGGATTCCTCCACGTGTTACTTTGCCCTCCTGGTTTGGCGTGCCATGGTGGGGTCTGTATGCACCCTCCAATTCTGTGGAGACATAACCAAAACTCTCCCCCTGGGTGAGTTAGTGCCCTATTCCCCGCATGTCATCTCAATTTCTCCCCATCCCCATTCTCCCTCCTCCTTCCCCCTTTCTCCTCCTTTATGTTGGACTCACATGTACCTCCCTCGGTTTGGTCTGACCGCCCCCTGACGGCCTATGCTTCCACCTGTCTATTGTGACATAAGTGTCTTTTCTTCTATTCCTGCTGTGCTGATTCTACTTACCTCAGGGGACTCATGTTATACTTGTCCTTTTGAGATTGGCTTACCTCGTTTTACATGATTCCTTCCAACTCTTCCCATGAAACGATGTGCTTCATGTGATGGTCCATGCTTTTCAGTGCTGCATAGCACTCAGTTGTGTGCATGTGCCAGAGTTTACTAATCCACTCATCTATCAATGAAACAGGCTGTTTCCTAGTCTTTGCGATTGTGAATTGCACCGCAATAAACATTGGAGCGCAGATGACTGGTCATGTTTTATTTCTAACCTCCTGTGGGTAGATGCTCAGTAGAGGGATGGCTGGGTCATAAGGTAGATCAATTTTCATTTTCTTTAAGCATCGCCAGATTGCTTTCCACAGTGGCTGTACAAATCTACACGACCACCAGCAGTGGAGGAGGGTCCCTTTTCACCACATCCCCTCCAACCTTTTGTTGCTCTCTGATTTTCTGATTTGGGCTAACCTCAGAGGTGTTAGATGATATTTCATGGTTGTTTTAATTTGCATTTCTCTTATGGCTAATGAACGGGAACACTTTCTCACGTGTTTGTTGGCCATATGGGGTCTCTTCCCTAGTGAAAGTTCTTCTCAGTTCTTTTGCCCACTTCCTTAGGGGGTTAACGGTTTTCCTCTTTTTGCAGTCCATGAGGGTGTTGTTGATTTTAGTAATGAGACATTTGTCTGATGTGTCATTACTAAAAATCCTCTCCCAGTCTGTGAAGTCTTTCGAGGTGCATAAGTGTTTTATTCTTATTAAATCCCATTTGTCAGCCAATACCTCTATTTCTGTGGATTAATGTATTTACATGAGGACACACCTCTGTTAATACCTCTATAGCTTTGCTTCCTAGAGCCTTGCTGTGTTTCCTTTTGCCTCCTCCTGCCCCACCATCACTTCCCCCATCTTCCACCTCTCAGTGCTTCCTCTCAGCTAGATTGGTGTTTCTCCAGTACCCACAGGATCTCTACACCCTCCTAGATGTTGGTTTCAGTTCCCTAGTTGTTCCCCTGTCTCTGGCACCTTCCACTCACCACACCCTTCTCCCCACTTCCTTCTTCTCCCAGGACCCTCTGGGGCCATTGGCCCCATTGCTTTCACCCCGAGCTTGCCTCCTCTGTCCATCCCATGTAAGTAGGCCAACCAGCCATGTCCTAGTCCTAACAATAAGAAAACAAAAGTTTGAAGAAAGAAAAGGAGAGAGGAAAAAAAAAACAACCACCCTACATAGATCCAGGTCTGTCGGCTGGCCCCCATGAGTCCCTCCCCCCTTGTCCTGAGGGAGATCTGGGGGCTGCCCTCCTAGTCCATTCTTTGGGCTCTTCAGGGGCTCTGTGGCTCGACATTACTTCCATTGCTGATCTGTTAGGCTCCCTTCCTGGTTTGTCCGGCTACGGGGGATTCAATCCACACTGTCTCCCTACCGTGTGACCCAAACTTTCCTCATCATAGACATTTCCATGAACTTTTTCAAGCCCTCTTGCATTTTTGTTTCTCTGAGCATAGTCCTCTTTTATAAAAAGATTCCTTAGTGGTTTGAAGACCGAGATCAAGGGTCTCATTATGTCATATTTATACTAGACACACCCAGTGTTTGTTTTCAGCCTTGTTCCAGAACTTTCTTATCCTGGGCCTATAATAGAAACATTTCAATTTCTTGGCTTTGAGAGGTTTTTTTCTACAAACATAATAAATAACATATCTTAAACAAGATTCAATATACTCATATATTTGTATATGTAATATTTTCTTATGTATGTAAGTGAAACAAAAATGATAACTAGTTCATACTCTGATATTTTCCATTGTTCTTAGTTCATTAAAAAATCCTGGTGTTATTGATTAGCTTGATTTTATTACACACTGACAAGCTTGTTCTAGTTTGTTCATACTGTTGACATGAAATAAGTAATTTCCAAAAGCTGCATGTTAGGCAGTTGCTGCCTAAAATAGAGTTTTACCTATTTAACCTTTAGGAAGAACATATTCTGATTGTGGTTATTAAGTAAAATTTAACAGAATTATCAAATCCTTGGTGATAAATACAGTACGTATAACTGAAATTAAATATATGCTATTTCAATTTTTATCCATAGGTGGCGACAGACAAGGTTGCAGGAAAGCTGAGTTCTACTCTCACATGGGTGAAGAACACAGTATCGCATACAGTCAGTCAGATGGCCAGTCAGGTGGCAAGTCCATCTGCTTCATTACACACTACATCCTCATCCACCACACTGTCAACACCAGCCCTTTCCCCAGGCTCTCCATCACAGCTGAGTCCAGACGACATAGAACTCCTGGCTAAACTGGAGGAACAAAATAGGTGAGTGAAATGCGGACTCTTCTCGTTCTCATATAAACTCAATCATTCGTAGCTGTATGAGCATATATCCTATGTTTGAGACTTAAAATATTTATTGATATCAAGAATGGTCTTGTTTTTGGCTTTATCAATAGATACTTAACAGAAGTATTCAAGTATTTGGGGGGGGGGTGGTCTTAAAACAGATTTTCGCATGTCTCCAAAAGCTTATTTGTTTTCTTAAGTTAGCAAATTGCTTAGACCCTTTCTGAATTCTAGCAATCATTCTTTTCTTTTGGTAAGTCAGTGTGTTGCCTTAATTAATGTTCTCTATTTTACTTCTTGTGGGTTCTAATATCCTTTACAATGGCTACATAGAACTTGCAGAAAATATTCACGATAAAGGATTTATTAAGGAAGTTACCAACTTACAATGCCAGTGAGAAATGCTCGGGGTAGAGTTGTTTTTCAGGACATGTTACAAACTTCTTTCAGGTCTGCAAATAAATACCCCAAAGGGCATACCACTGTGCTGGATGCCTCAACTTGAAGACATTCCGTTCAAGTTCTTTGGGTCAGCAGACCCAACTCCTTGAACTAAGTGTCCAGAGGCACCCACTCCAGTAAGCGTCATCCTAAAGGCACTCATCTCCACTTCTGTGGGTCGAAAACTCAGCTTCCCCAATTCAGTTCCCAGAGGCAGCCACTCCATAAGCCAGCTAGCCTCCTGCACAGAAGCACTCAGCTTTACTCGCTCTGAGTTGTCCACGTGCTCTCTCCTGGTTCTGCAACTGCTCCTTTGATGTCATAACTCTTTTCTGGGTCCAGGAGGTTCACTGCATAGGGATCTTGGGTCGAGTGGACATGTCCCTCTCCTGGCTCTTGCGGGTAAGGAGATCTTTCCTCCTGCTTCATTTTTTTTTTTAAATCAATTTATTGGGGCTTATACAATTCATCACAATACATAGATCAATTGTATAAAACACATCTATACATTTGTTGCCCTCATTATTCCCAAAATTCGCTTGCCTCTTGGGTTCCCGGAATCAGCTCATTTTCCTTTTTTCCCCCCTCCCCTTTCCTTCCTCCTCCCCTCTCCCCCATGCACCCTTAATAATTTATAAATTATTAACGTATCTTATATTACACTGTCCGGCGTTTCCCTTCACCCACCCTTCTGCTGCCTGTCCCCCAGAGAGGAGGTTATATGTAGCTCCCTATGATCCATTCCCCATTTCTTCACCCTCTTTCCCTCCTGGTATCGCCACTGTCACCCCTGGTCCTGAGAGGTTCATCTGTCCTAGATTCCCTGCGTTTCTGATTCCCATCTGTCCCGCTGTGCATCATCTGGTCTAACCAGGTCTGCAAGGCAATATTGGGGTCCTGGTAGTTGGGGGGAGGCCTCCTGCTTCATTTTATACACAGCAGGATGGCATTCCGGGGATGCCTGTTTACAATCATAGATGAATCTTATCAGTATCTTTCCCTACCTTCTCACCAGACCCCTACAGGAAAAGGTCCGTCAATGGGACTTAGAGACTTTGGCTAAAAGAGCCACATTACTAATCCGCTGCCCCTGCCATCAAATAAACTTTTTTTACTTTTTCAAACTTTTTGGATAGATCCATTTGGCTAAGGTGTAAAATAATCAGGATGGATATTGATTTAGATTGATGTATTGGTTTAGAGTTGAAAACATTCTTACATTTATGTATAAAAGGCAAAGTAGCCTCCTTTCATAATGGGAATGAAATAGAACAATTGTTTATTCCTAAAGGCATGTGTGCGCTGGACCCTGCGTGCCCTTGTTGGTGTTGCTGTTAGGTGCTCTTGCCTGGGCTCCGACCATTGCTTATGGTAACCCTGTGTGCAATGGAATCAAACACTGGCTGGTCCTTTGCCGTTTCTTGTTGCAGCTACTGTGCCCTTGATGTCTTTGAGGGCCTTCCTCTTTTTCACTGACCCTCTCCATGACCAAGCATGATGCTTGTCTAGGGAGTGATCCCTCATGATAATATGTCCAAAGTATGTGAGATGAAGTTGTGCTACCCTGGCTTCGAGGAACATTCTGGATATACTTCTTCCAGGATAGATTTATTTTTTCATCTGGTGGCTCATGATACACTGAGCATTCCTCTGTAGTGCCACAGTTCAAATGCATCTTCTTCTTCATTGATCTTCTTTATCCATTGCCCAGCTTTTGTATGCCTCTGCGGTGATTGAAAATAGCCAGGCGTGGGTCAGGCAGTCGCCAGTGACGTGTTTTTGCTCTTTAACACCTCAAAGAGGCCTTTTGCCGCAGATATGCCCAATGCAGTATGTCATTTGATTTCTTGACTGCTGCTTCGGGGGGCATTGAGTGTGGATCCAAATAAAATGATCCTTGACAACTTCAATCTTTTCTTCTGTTTATCAAGATGCTGTGTATTGGTCCAATTGTGAAGACTTTTGTTTCCATTATTGAGGTGTAATCTATATTGAAGGCTATAATTTTTTTATCTTCATCAGTAAGTGAAGTCTCCTTGGCTTTCAGCATGTTAGATTGTGCCATCTACCTACTGCAGATTGTTAATGAGTCTCTTGCCAATACTGATAATGCATTCTTCCTCATCAGTTGAGCTCAACACAAGACTGAAAAAGCGTGATAAAAGGATACAGCAGATACAACACTGATGCACACAGTTTCTGATTTTAAATCATGTAGCATTTCCTTATTCTGTTCAAATTGCCTCTTGTATGTACAGGTTCTGCATGAGCACAGTTAAGTGTTCTGGGATTCCTGTTCCTTGCAATGTTGTCCATAGCTAGTTATGTTCCACACAGTTGAATGCCCCTGCATAGTCACTAAAATACACATCAACGCATTTCTGGTATTTTCTGCTTAGAACCAAGATACAATTTGATAACAGCAATGATATCTCTCATTCCTTGCCCTTGTCTGGATCTGGCTTGAATTTCTGGTAGTTCCTTGTCAGTATACTTTGCAACCAATTTTGAATCATCTTCAGTAAAATTTTACTTGTGTGTCATATTAATGATATTGTTTGTTAATTTCTGCTATAGTTGGGTCACTTTTCTTGGAATGGGCACAAATATGGATTTCTTTTCACTCAGTTGGTCTGGTAGCTGTCTTCCAAATTTCTGGACATAGACAAGTGAGCACCTTCAGTGTTGCATTTGTTGAAACATCTCAGTTGGTATTCCTTTGATTCATAGAGCCTTATTTGTTGCATTCCGGTAGTTTGGATTTCTTCTTCAGTACCCTCAGTTCTTGATCATGTTACCTTCTTAAATGGTTGAATGTTGATCAGTTCTTTTTATACAGTGGATATTTGCATTTCTTCCTTCCTCTTTGACTGCCGGAAGCAACACTCCAGGTCTTTACACACTTCATTATTCTACTTTATTTTATTTTCTTGAATGTGTATCACTTCTCTATGATAGTATGAGAAGTTATTTTTGGCACTGGCTTTAAAATGACCGGTGAAAAGCACTTGTGTGCTCAGTAAAGATCCTGTAATGTCTTTGATAGTAATAACAGTTTTAAAAGTACCTTTATTGATATATAATTGTTACCTAATAAATGACACACATTTAGAATGTACATGTTCACAAGGTCTGAACTGTATATACCTTGACATCTGCCCCAAAATCAAAACAATGATTAGTCATCTGTTTTATAACTATTTTATCTGTCTTCAGGCAATAATTTTTGGCTCTTTATGTCTGCTGATTGCTTTCTTAGAATTAACTTTTCTAATTTTATGGAAATTGTGCTATATAGTTTGTGCCCCTTTTTTGGAAGAGAAATGAACGACTGCCACATGCTACAACATGAATGAATCTAAAAATAATTATGCTGAGTATCATGACCTATACAGCAAAGAGTACAAACTATATTCTTTTTTATATCCGTTGAATGAATATACCATAATTTATCCATTCACCTGTTGCTATACAAATCCATGGATGTATGTTGTCATTTTTCTTACACCATTACCTAGGAGTGATAGGTATAGGTTGAACTGCCAAATTGTTTTCCAAAGGGATATGGTATGAAATTTCCAGTTCCACCCCCTGGTTTTTTTCTTTTGCTGCAGACATCAATAGTTTATTGTATGTTTAGTCTAAACACATTCAAAATGGACCTCAAAAAATACTTTCCACCTGAAACAATGAAACTAGATTCTACCCTTCGTCTTCTGTACCTACAAAAGCCATGATGGTAAAAGCCAATTTGGTTGCTAGAGTGTCAAAAGAATAGATTATTACCATCCAAAGGGAAAAACAACAACAAAAACATCAGCAAGAACAATAATGATAGATGGGTATTTTTACTTTGTTTCACTGACAAGGGGACAAATGTTAAAAGTCCATAATACTGCAGGTGAACAATCACCATGTAAACTCCTCCAGATGATGTTTTAATGTTTTATTCATAGGATGTAAAGACTGAAGCTGAATGGCTCTTGGCTCTAATTTTCTTACATTTAGTATCTGTTGTTACTTTTGGTGCCAGAACATAGTTACAGAGCAATATCCTGACTTGGGGTGCTCATAAACACACATATATGAGGGGCTTCAGAGAGTTTATGGGAAAATGGAATTAAAAGGTAATGAATCTTTCTATGAACCTTTTTAAGCCCCCGTGTATATGTGTGTGTGTATACATATATGCACATACACATATATGTATATAGATACACACATATATGTATGTATATATATATACATACATACATACATACATACACACACATACATACCGTATATGCTTGCATATAAGCCGACCCGAATATTAGCTGAGACACCTAATTTTACCACAAAAGCTGCATAAGAAATGTGTTGAAAAATATACGGTATAAATACAAAATGAAACAGAATAACAAAAAATAAAACAAACACTTAAAAAGGGAATGAGGAAGAACGCTGACTATAAACCACTTTTTTTTTTTAGCCACAGTTAGGGTTTATTGAACCCCTCCCATGCTTCCAGCCAGGTCCACAGATTCTCTTTTAGC